TGGTCCAGTGGGTTGGAGCGTCACCCCGGGCAACCAAAAGGTTGCGGCTGGACCGCGGTTGGGGAGTGTCCGGGAGGCCACCAACTGATGTTCCTATCTCACATCAGTGTCTCTCTCTCTCTCTCTCTCTCCCTCTCTCTCTCTCCCCCTTCCTCCCCCCACCTCTTCACTTCCCCCCTCCTCCCTAGAATCAATAAAAATCCATATCCTCAGGTAATGATGTAAGAAATAAAAAATCTGAAAGAAAATATGCAAGAATCAGACAGGGGCAATGTTGGCACAGCCCGATGACTGTATTAAAAACCGTTGGGTCGTGTGCAGTAATTGATTAACGGCAGGCGAATTGTTTCCTGGCAAAGCTGCTCCTTTGCAAAGGAGCCCAGCCGAGGGAGGGCTCTTCAGCAGTCACGGCCGCGGTCACTGCTGTCACTGTGTCCCTGAGACCTCGTCAGAGTGTTCCCTCATAGCTTAACATTCTAGCTCTGCTCCGCGCCCCCGCGCCTGGTTAGCAGCTCCACCGGAAACGGGGCCGTGGGAGAGACGTCCGCACGTGATTCTCGGGAGACAGCCCAGGCTCTGCACGAGGCGGGGGGGTGCCGGGATTTGCCTTGATGTCACGTGAGCGGTTTCCTGTGAAATGACTGATGTGCCCCCCGCCCCCGCTCCTGTGGCTGCTGTCACTGTGTACCAGACACACACGAGGTGGCCTGTTGCTTTGACCCAGGACCCCTCCAAAAAAGGACCGAGTGAAACTCACACCAACTGCATTTCGACATTACGACTGCGTGAGGCGCTGAGGGCAACGTCTCTTCGTCCAAGAAAATCAGCGGCTGAACCCGGAGCTGGCCAGGATAATTCATTCGTTCTGGTCGTTACCCTCTACCAGGTGGTCAGAAATCCATGCGCCGCTGTCTGGCTCGCCTGGCAGAGGTAACGAAAGTCACAGTAAGAACGTTAGGCTACACGATATTAGCCTGACGCACCATTGCCGGAGAGATTAAAAACTGGATTTTTCGGGGCAGGAACCTCTCGGGAGGAAACACGGCCTCCTGGCTTTGCACTCTGAAAGCTAACAAAATCAACTCACAGTCTGAGCGGATGCCCCTTTATCTCCTCCAAGGGAAAAACCGCAGGGTTTCACAGTGTAAAGTAAGGCCGCCTGTTTTCAAAGGCACTGATCTGTCTCTCTGAGATAGACTTCGCTTCAGTCACACTTGTCCCTGAGCACCACTGTCTCGGCACCACAACCCCCTTAAAAACAGCACTGGAGGGAGGCGGGAGAGTGGGGGGCCCAGCTTGGGGCTCAGCTCTGCCTCCTGCCCCCCCGCACGCCCATGACAGTGGGGACCTACTGGGCGGTAGTGAAGGGGCACGGCCCAGAGCCTGGATCGCGGCAGGGCGCCAGCGGCGGTGGCCCTCACCACCCCGGACAACCGCTTCCTCCTCCGCTCTCCCTCCACCGCGCCCCACTCCCTGCCACAGGGCTGGGCCACCCCGTCCCCGTGGGGGCACGCCCACCCCCCTAGCCCACTCCTAGGGAAGGTGTCCTCCGTCTTCATCTTTCCCAGACGTTCCCCAACTGTGCTCTAACCTCTCCTCCGCCCCCTCTGCCGAGGGGGAAAGAACCCTGCTTTCCAAGTCTGCTGGACTGGAATTCCACGTGCAGAACCACTTCCAACTCCCAAGTTCATAACTAAATATCTATGACATTCAACTTAAATTACATTCGCTTATCTAGCGTGGGGCCAGCAAGGGCTGTGAGAACATCAGAATTTCATATCTCCAAAACCCCGGATCCTTGAAGTCCGTGGTTTCCAGCAATCTCTAGAGCTAAGTGATTAATTGTACTCGCGACACTCCAAAGCAATCACTTAATTAGGCGGTGTGACCGGCTGCCAGTTGTGTACAGCGCAGGGGAAGACTTCACCCCAGTTTCTCAACATCTGGCCTCTGGATGACTCGAGAGAGAAAAGGAGATATGAGAACATTTTTATGACTAAGTAACGATTTCTAGAAATTTTCCATTAAGTAGAAAAACGTTTTCGGTAGTTTGCTTCTCATGATTAGAACTTGGTGACATGCTTTACTCGGCGTCCACTTACTGAAATCCAGTGAAAAACAGACAGCGCCGTAACGCACCATGAAACGTGCGGGCCGTTTTCCTTTTAGGGCAGGAACGTTGCTTTTCTAGCTGAGCCGTATGCTCTTTCCCCTTCGAGTATGTTCGTCTTCCACTTTCCCGGGCCTGTTGTTTCAAGTTCTCTTTCTGAATTTGGGTTTTCTTTAAAAAATCAACTTGAATCCACGAAAATCCCCTAGTAGTCCTCCTAAACCAGAAATCCAAGTTTTGTTCCATCGAGAACTTTTCAAGGAGAGAGGACGCAGGCAGTGACCAATGCCAAGTCTGTATGACGTACTCAGGGGTACACGAGGTCCCTGGCTAGGGGGCGGGGGGAGGCAGGACACAGGAGACAGCAGCAGCAATGCTGACTTTCTGAGACCATCTGTGGGGTTTCAAAATAGTCAAAAAGTCCTCGGTTCCTCCGCACCAACACTGGCTCCCCCACCTCTCAGCAGGCAGGGGTTGTAGGAGTGCTGGTACCGCCCAGCCCGGCTCGACGATGGTTTCTCATTATCCCACACGTCTCCATGCCAACCTCTCCAGTGGGGGCGAGCTTCCGGGGCACGGCCTATTTCCGCCGCCGCCCACCACACCTCATGAGACGGGATTGGCAGAATAGACCGGGGCGGGGGGGGGGCGGGTAAGGAATTGGTTCCTGCGTGTGTGAGCACCCGCTGTGCCCAAAATATTTCACTGCTTCGAACCTCTGCCATCCACCGTATCGGAGCATTGAAACACTGTCACTCTCCTCTAATTTCAGAATGATGAAATAGCCGCCGATAGATGGGTCATCCCGGAGCACGGGATCGGCGAAGGGCGGAAATCAGTGAGCGGTGGTGGATGACACGGGAACCCCTTTCCAGGCCCCCCTTTGGGAACAAGTTCGGATGGTCTGCAGGGAGCTAACGGAGCACCCAGCGTTCTGACTCTTTCTTGAGGATTGAGCTGGACGCCCAGCTGCGGGTTGATGCCAGATGCATTGTCAGAACTGGTGCCCGAAGCCTGGAGCCCATTGGCCTCCTTCGGAGAGCTGACCCCCCCGGCCCCCTGCATAATGAGTGGTGTGCACGCGGGTGTGTGGTGTGCACTCGGGTGTGTGTGGGTGATTCTGAGGAAGGAGGGTCACGTCTCAAAGCAGGCTGAGTCACGGCGCCAGAAGTGTATTTACAATCACGTGAATTTTGCATGAAACTTCAGTGAGTCTCTCTAGTGGGGAAAGGTGCTCAGTGTCACGGAAGCTGGCCGGCATGGGGGGTGGCCTCAGCACACGGCCGGTTCCCTGCTGCCGGAATGCCACTGCTCCGGAGAAAGTCCTTTTGTCCACATCAGACAGAGCCTTCTGAACAAGGACTTGATGGTCCCGCACCGGGAAGGAGAGAAACGAGAGCCACCACACAGGCCGATGTCCCTGTCCCCTGAGGCCATCTGCCCCTGCTCACTTCCAGGGGGCCGGACACAGCCTCGGCTCTGTCCTGCCCCCGGAGGTCACCTGCGCACCAAGGTTGGAGGCCTAACGCCACCTTCTGTCTCTGCAACTCAGAGTGTTTAGCAAATCTGTCCCCTTTTAAAAAGAATTTATTCTTTTGTTCCCAAACCTAAACGTCAGCTCGGTTCATTTGGGTGTCGTCATCCCCACAAGTACTCTATCCTTATTCAGGCTGTGTTTCATATCAGGGGCCGCGTGTGTCAGCACGTGGGCAGATGCGTTAGCACCGCTTAGGGCCTTCTGGGAGCAGCGGGGCAACGGGCCCTGACCAGGCACCTGCCCTTGTCGATTGCCAGGACGGCCACCAGCGTCTCTGCACCGGCTTGTGACCTCCGCTAGGCTAAATGTTGTAACGGATGACATGGCAGCCCTGGGAACTAATATTATTACCCCGTTTCCCAGATGAAGAAACCGAGGCTCAAAGAGGCCCAGGTCACACAGCTGGTAAATGGCAGAGCTTGAACTGAAACCAGACTGTCGGGCTCCAAAGGCCACCTTCTCAGCCTCGGGGCTGGGACCGGTCCCCAAGGTGTCCACCCCTGTAAATGGCGTCCACCCTTAGCCAGAATGACCCCGAGGGCAGAGCCCGGCCTCCCAGACGCATTTCCGACGCTTTGTGCGCCGCCGACATCGGTGCCTTCGCACATGCATCTCCCACAAGTCAAATAAGTAAAAACAAAAAAGTCATCTGTTTCTGCTCAACCCCACATCAGAATCCTTTGACATAGATATATGGGGATCAGGACGGATAACCCAGACGCCGGAAATCCTCCTTTAAAGAAAAATGATTTGCCCATGAGTGCTGTCCGCTGACTCAGACACGCAGTCCCCCCCCAGTCCTCGCCGGCCTCAGAGCGCGTCACACCCCGTACACGTCGCATTCTGACGAGAAGAAGGCGCTGCAGCGCCCGGCACGTGCTCGCCCTTGCCCGGGACCGGTCGCACCTGCTGGGGCGTGTGCGAGTCAGGGCGCCGCCCGAAGGAGAGAACGCTCCATCGTTCGGTCCTCGGCCGTTTCGGCACCCGTCCCGAGTCACATCAATGATGACCGTGGGAACCAATGACCAACGATCCGTGGTAGCGCTGTCGTCGTTTTCCAAGCAGGCGAAACGTGTTTTCTCCCAAGTCTTTTACTCAGCAATGTGTATTTGAGAAGTAAAAAAATAAAAAATATATAAAGACTAAACATAGTCTATTTTTTTTACCAGAAAGTATTTGAAACAAAAGATTTCTCAGGCTCACTTTTCACAAGCTCTGCAAAATGAATGTCTTTTCCCACTGAGGCCTGAGCATATCAATAAATTGGTTATTTCTCCTTCCATTCTCTGTCTCCGCCATAAACAAGCAGCTGCCCTGAAAAGTTACATATTTTGTTTATTTCTTTTTCAACAGGGGACTGATCACATTTGAAAACAAAACCTACGTCCTAGAACCAATGGAAAACGTGACCAGCAGATACAAGCTCCTCCCGGCAGCCACCCTGAAGGGCGTCTGGGGGTCGTGCGGATTACACCACAACGTCTCCGGCCTCGCCGCGGCCAGCAGCCCCCCACCACCCTCCCGGACGTGGGCCAGAAGGGTAGGAGGGAAACCCGAAGTCATGTTTCTGGGGACCTGGGGGCGCCAGCTGGGGACACCCAGTGTTAGCACACCTGGAGGAATTTTCCCATCCGGGTGCTGTGTCGGGGGTGGAGTCACCCGGTTTACCTGGGGCAGAAGCGGGGGGGGGGGGGGTGCGTGTCCCGCGGGCTGAGCATCCTCACACACGGAAACCCCCACCTTGACTTCACAATCGGACCTGAGCTGGGAAAGTGGGGCTCGGAGGAGGACAAAGGGACCGTTGATTACGGCTTCACTGAGAGCCCCCGTGGGCCAGACGCGGGTCTGTGCCCGCCGTGGTGAGCAAAGGGACCCGACCACGGCTCTCAGACAGCCCCTCTGCGCTCTGCGGCGGGGGAGGAAAGGGGTGTTTCTTTGTACGTGGTCTGCGTCACAGCTGGGGTCTTCCCGATGACCGCACAACACTCCCAGGCTTCGCCGCCTGGCCCTGCGGAGGTGACTGGGGTCTGTCAGGGGGTGTGGCTAAGGGGCGTCGCTCCCCCAGCCCACGCAGCTGGCGCCCGTCCTGCTTACCTGCTGGGACTGCCCCAGCGGGCTGGGTTTTCTGGTTGTCTGTCCCTGGGTCTGCTTCTGTGAGGTCTTCTCTTCTCCTCCAGCCCGGGCAGGATCTCTCTCCCTGCCAAGTGGGCAGACACAGGGGGGCCTGACACCCCGAGGGAAATCGTCGTGAAACCTCCCCAAAGGGGCTGCCGGGCCCTTTCCCCTCCTGTGTCGCCCGCGGCCCACGGGCCAGGCGGGGCAGCCCTAGAAAGGACCAGGCAGCCGTGCCCCACGTCTGTCCAGAGGCCCCGAAACGAAGCGGGCACCACGGGAACCCGGCTCAGTTTCCTGCTTTCCCATCTGGGGACAAGGGGTCTGGAGTCCGTAGCTGTGGCGTCTCTTGCACCTGCACTGGAGGGAGGGAGCAGGGGCCGCAGGGCATGTCCCCAAGCTCCCAGCGAACACAGGCTGCCTTCCCCGACTCAGCACTGAGCTGCCCCACGTCACACACTTCATAAATAGTCTTCCTTTGGTCCCTCCTACGTAACTTTTCTAAGTTCACACAGTGAACGTTAGTGTCCTAAGCGATTTCCTCCCGTCCTTCCAAGGTCCCCCCGCAACTGGGGGCCGTGTGAGTGCCCCTCACCTCGGCCCGACCGGTCAGGGCTTTGCACTTGAACTCCGCATCCCTCCTGTCTGCCCGCGTGACCCCGACTTCCCGCGCGTTCGCACGCCCCGGACGAGCCAGCGGTTGGCACGTTGTCCCCGGAGGGGCTTTGCTTTGAGTGCGGTGAGGGCCAGGCGTCGTCCGCGTTCCAAGATTTGTGACCCGGCCGTTGGGACGAGGCTCCCGTGCCCTGGCGTCTCGGGGAGAAGTGGGAGCGTGGGCCGTGCCCCGCGGCCACGTTGCAGCTTTTTGACTAAGTCTACAGCTCCCTCAACCGTGATTGGCACGGCAATTTCCAGCCATTTCGGTTTGAAGGGGACATGCCAGAAACCCGAATAAAAGTGTGGTGTTGCTAATAACGCATACTGAAGTGGAAATGAACCTTCAAATTGGAAAGGGAAGGCATCCGAGGCAGTTCGGCTGGTCCTCAATATTTCTCTCTGGAAACAGTTGTCAGTGTTCTCACGGAAGAGCAAGTGTCCTTGACTGAAAGGGCAATTACATCATGAACATGATGCAAAGAGCAATCCTCGGTACGTGGAGTGTTTGGGAACCGGAATGAGGTGCCGGGTAGTCTGGGGTGGCACCTGTGGGGGACAGGAGCGGGGCACGTTCAAGTTCCTCGCTGCTCCCCTGCCTCGCCCACGCTGCCTTTACTTTATGCCCCAAAATCAGCGTGACTGAAGCTGACCTTGTTTACGCTGTGCGTCAACAACTGCATGGGCGTCTGCCCAGCGTTTTTCTGCCCCAGCGAAATGGTAACTGTGGCAAACATCGGCTTGGAGACTGAGGTTTTGCTCGCCGAGCAGCAGGAGAAACCCGGACTCGGGGCACGCACTGGCCGTAATACAGGCTGAGCTGTGGTCTGTCATTTTCACCAGGCTTTCCAGCAGATCTCGGCAGGCGCCCGCGATCAGAGCTGCTCTGCCCGGTCTCTGTTCTGCGGATCTGCGAGGCCGGCCCGAAGAGCCCTGGTCACCGAGCTCCCCAGCTGCGCGCCCCTCCCGTCCCCGCCCCTCCCCACCAGCCGCGCTCCAGAAAGCACACTCATTCTAACCTTGGCCTCGGCCAGCCGGAAGGAAGGCAGAGGCTCGGCAAATCTGCTACTGGAAAAAATCACGTAATACCTCCCAGAGGCACAGGCACATTAGTTTTAAATTATCCTTTCTTTAGGGACAATCTGTGCTATTTTCCCCTCCATTAGTAGGGAAAACGATGAGTCAAATGTAAGAGCCAATGTCTTCTTTTTCTAGAAAGCGGCGTTCGCTTTGGCTACCCACTACAAAGAGGATGGGTGTCAGGGTGACACTGTTGTGTCTCCCCAAGGGCAGCCGCCGCGGCGTGGCCCCGCACCACAGTTCTGAGGTTCTGGACAGGCGGGCATCTCCAGTGGAAGCCCAGTGCCGGTGGTGGTAGAAACGGTGACAGTCATGTGGGTTGTCTGCAGAGCCCCAGGACGGCTGTACACCAGGAACTAGGCAGGACCATCCGAAGACCCACGGGCGAGAGCAGGCAGGTGGAACTCCTCCCCAGCGTGGCCCTCCTCAGCTCCGTGCCCCCGCGAAGGGGCCGCCGCTCGGCCTCTCCCCGCCCGGGTCACTCTCCAGGCTCCGGGTGGAGAGCCGCCAGCAGTCCCACTCCCTCCCCCGGCCCGGGCTCGGCATCTGTCAGTGTGAGCTTCAGCTCCAGCAGCTGCAGGTGCGGACTCCTGCTGAGTCCTGAATCGATTAAAACCCCGATGAGTCAGTGACAGCTCTCCCTGGTGCCGCCGGGTTTTTGGACTCCAGTCCTTTCCCATTAGCGTGCGGTTCATCAGCTTCAGCCCATTCATCCCGCCGCCTGTCTCGTTTGCTGGTTGGCTCCGCAGCCTGTAGGGTCGCCCGGCCTCGGGGGGCCGCATCCGCTCAGATCCGATCACGGTGCTTCGTCCCCAGCACAGGTCACAGGCCAGGGTGGCGGGGAGACGGCCTTCCCCGGGGGAGACCCCGGCTCAGCTTATAAACATCCACGAAGCGAACTTGGTGTCCAGACGTGCCACCTCTCTGGAGCCGACAGTGATCTCCCCTCGTTCACGGGAAGGTGACCCCAACTTTCGAGTCGTTTAACTCGCTGGCCGTGCCTCCCAGGGAAACGCCGGCCCGGCTCCCTGGTCGCTGTGCTTTTGGTGTCCGGCTGGGTCACGGCCGGCCTGACTCTGGGTGCCGATCTCGGCCGTTACTGCCCCAACCACTCTCCGGCTCCCGCCACCCGGCCTCCTGTCGCACCTCTGTGGTCCCCGCTCCCCGCCCCTCCCCACCACCGCCCGGCGGCACTTGGACCGGTTGATTACAGTGGACCTTCCCGGGTGCAGCCCCAGCCCCGTCCACGTCTGCGGCCTGGAGTCGGCTGCGCGCTCTGCTGGCTCTGGAGACGCCAGCTGTCTGCCAGCTGCTTCGACACGCCAGGGCCCCTCCACCCTCAGGACTGGCGCCGTCACCGTTCCATCCATCTGAAACACCGTTCCCACCCCCTTTTCCCCCCATCCCCCCCCGCACCTCCTCCTCAGGCCTCCGCTCAGCCCCTCGCCCGGTCTTCCTCCCAGTTGGAGAGCCCTGTCCCTCTCCTTTGCGGACCTTCTCACAGCCTGCGCTTGATTTTTTGTTGATTCTTCATGGTCACCCCACCCCCGCCCCAGAGTGTGCGCTCCCTGAGGGCCGCGCCTCGGGCCTCTGGTCCGTCCCTTTAGCCCTAGGTCCCAGCCCAGCGCCTGGCACGCAGGCAGCCCCCGGTGGGCGTCTGCGGGACGAGGGAGCGACACACAGGCAGTCCGGCCCGTAGGAGGAAGGCATCACAATGAGAATTTGGTGGCATCCTAATCTCAACAGCACTTTCCTAACTTAAGTTTCCAGCGCCAGAGTCCTCGATGCAGCGCATTCGGTGGGGGGTGGGGGGGGGACTCTGTCTCTGGGAACTGGAGAGGCCCAGGAACTCCTTCCCTCTGGAACAGGATTCCAGGAGCGCCTCAGCCTCCAGCCTGGAGCAGAGGCCCCCGGGCCGTTCCCAGAGGCTTAAGTTCCTGTCTCTTTGTGGAAGGGCGTTGGTTTTTAACCCCAAAAATAAAAAAAAAATTAATCAGACAACCAGTTTCAAATGTTGCTCTGCATGTCAGAAATTTTAAGCGTGAGTTGTTTAAACTGGGCAGCCAACATAGGTGGAAACCACAGGGAGGTCGTCTGAGGCTCTCTCGGGGCGCAGCTGACAGAAGAACCCCCACCACCACCCGCCTTCCCCCCCCCCCGCCCGCTGCCCCCCACGGCTGCGGGCCGGCCACTCCCGGAGGGCTTTTTATTACAGTGCGGTTAGCGGCTCTCTGAGCTTGCAGTTCTCTGACTCATGAGAAAGTCTGGACTCCCGAAAACTGCAGAGGCAGGGAAACTGTGCTGACGTGTGTGTTTTCGTGGTCTGGAATCACGCGTTTCCTCCACGGTGAGCCGAGGCTGCTGGGAAACGTCCCCTGGCCGTGTCGGCCTCAACCCCCGGCCACCCAAAGCTGTGAACATGTGAAGTGACCGGCACCCTCTCTAGGGGTTGTCCAAAGGGAGATGAACTCATGTTTCCATGTTCAGAGCTTTATTTCCTGCTCTCCAGTTAGCTGGATCTGTTCACGGTTAGCAGGGAACTGAGGGGGGGCGGGGAGGCTTCTGCTTCTTCGCACCCCAGTGAGGAAGAGGGGCAGGGGCCTCACTCTTGGAGAAGGTGTCTCATTTTGTGGACCCAGTGGGTACCACGGAGGCGAATCTGTTTTGCCCCATAAATACATACTGATCATCATGAAACACACCTACAACATATAGTGACAACACAACACTTTTTTTTTGTAATGTTATAAAAGTTCAGGAAATTATACTTTTCATGGAGCCTTTTTTTTCTTCCTCCTTAAGGGTTCCAGATTTTTTGGGGGAACACTAAAGTCGTGAATCAGCACAGCTGGGCAGCGGCAAGGGGGAACAGTGCCGGGATACACACATCTTTCTTAGGAAGATCTGTTTGCGAAACCCCGGACGCACGGGGATTTGTTTCATAAAGGATGTTTCCCTCAGGATTATGTGACCGGAGAGCTGATGCAAAGCATGCCTTGGTCGTTTGCGCCTTTGTCTGAAAGCGTGGCTGTGGCGTGCAGGTGTCACACGTGAGGCGGCGTGTGCAGCCGACGCACACGCCAGAGGTGCGGTCGTGAGGCCCACGACCCGCTCACCCCCCTCTCCTGCCACTGCATTTTATCGCAGAGATGGAAGGCTTTGTGTGTTTGTTTTCAGTGTTTGCTTTTTGAGACCCCCCCCCCCCCCGCGAATTCCTCTTTTTCTCCTCAAAACACCTCTGGGATTCTCCCAGTACTTCACAGAAGAGGGCGAGTGTGTCTTGAGGAAGCCTGATTCAGACGCAACCCGCTTCCGAGGATGCCTTCCTGTTGGGGGGGTGGGGGGGGTCCTCCCTGTCCTCCCCCTGGGATATGCAGTGTCCACCACATTCCTCGGCACCGTTTCACTCCTACCAAACCCCTTTTCTCTGGTGGCGTTTTCTTTTCCTGACACTGTTTCTTTCTGGGGTTTTTTTTTTTTTTCCTTTTTGTTCCTCTCTCATTTTCCTCCCAACGTCTCTTCCTTGCCTGGCTGTTCCCCGCGCTCAGCCCCGCCCGTCTCCCACCGCTCCTAGCGCGGGGTTTCCGGCGGCGGCGGCCCCGGGAAATAAGCCCACTGGCCTGGCGGGGCCCGCTCGGTGTCTCTCCGGAAGGGGTCTGCGGGTCCTGCTGCACACACGGTCTCTTCCACGGTTCTCAAATCACAAAACTGGGCCCTAGAGGCAAGGGAAGGCCCAGGGGACCCTGCTCCCCACTTTGCTGTAGTGCCGTGCACGGCCGACCTGTACAGCCATTGGCGGACATGAAGGGCTCCTGGTCTGGAGAGGCTGGGCCCGCCGCCCGCTTCCCCGCGTGTCCCTGCATGTGCGTGTTCTGATCTCACGGCCCGTGCTCCGCAGGCACGTGAGATCCCCGGGCCAGGGTTTCCCAGACAAATGGAAACCGGTCCCTCGTGTCGAGAAGGTTCCGCAGGGGTCGCTGGGGCTGGAGGCGGACTTCTGGGTGGAAAGGAGGTGTGGGGGCCCGTGACGGCGAGGACGAGCCCCTTTAGGTCGAGGGTCTGGGCGGAGGGGCGCCACAAGAAATTAACCCCGTGTTTACCTTGCCAGCACAAAAGAGACACCCTCAAGACGACCAAGTACGTGGAGCTGGTCATCGTCGCGGACAACCGAGAGGTAAGAGCGTCGTGGCGCTCCTCGGCCCGGCCGGCTGCAACCCAGGAAAAGGGAAAGAGCATGTTTAAGCGAGTCATCATTTGCTGAATCAACCCCATTTTCTGTGGGCCCGTAAGAGCATTATAAACAACTCATGGAAAAGTGGTTTTCTGCTGTTATAAAGTATAAAATATTAAAAATGTCTCCACTGTTACCAAAGAGGAGCCGAGGACTGCAAAACAAAAAAGACGAAACAGTCTCTCTGTAGCCAAGCTCTCTCAACAGGGGGAATCTGCCGGGGGACTCGGCACAGGCCTTAAGAATGCGTTCTAAACTGTTTGGGAGAAGAGTTTAGTTTAGAAACTGTCCGCTGTGTCCTCGCCCAAAACGAACGAGTGGACGCCATCAAGATGACGCAGGAAAGTCCTGCCTTCCGAAGCAGGAACTGATGTCACGTTAGTTGTTTCTTTCAACTGACGTTTCACTAGCATTTCTGGAAGTGTCTTCTCTATCCGTTTCTGCCTCTGCCACACATGACAAATCGGGCGACACTTTCTCATCGCCCCGACACGTACCAATGAAACAGGGTGACGGTTTCTCGGAAAACCGAGAAGGTCTGATCAGAGGGGAGAAGGGGGACTTGACTAGCTTCTTATCCCGTCTCCTCCGTCTTTCTTGTGCGACTCATTGCCACAGGCATCGATTCCTGTGACTGTTTAATTTAAAAAAAAAAAATAGAAAGGCAGTTTCTGGGGAAGTTAAAATCGAGTTGACGATATGAGCAATGGCTCTGGACTGCCTTCCGGTTGTCTGCCTGCTCTTGGCCCGCGCTGCGGCCCCCTCCCTCGTGCGCAAGGCTGGAACGGTGCAGAGGGTCTTAGGGGCGCTCAGCTCGGGCGAGTTCCAGGGGCTTTCAGAACGTCCCGGCCCGGGGAGGCTTCTCAGCAGGGCGGGAGCTCATTCCACGGGAAACCAGGGAGGGTCCCGGGCCGGGGGGGGGGGGGGGGGGTTGTCAAGCTGAAGGCTTGACGTCTCCAGGAGCTGGGAAGATGAGCTTTGACGGATGTGGTTGCTGTTATTAATACTGACGTTTAAAATTATTAAGTTTCAGAGGCAAGGCAAGGACCTGGAAAAAGTTAAACAGCGATTAATAGAGATCGCTAATCACGTTGACAAGGTACGTTCTCTTTCGGGTAATTAAATCACTCAGATCAGGTAAATGTTTGGAAAAGAGGTGGGGGCGGGGATGCAGCTCGCCTCGCCCAATGGGGCGGGGAGCTGGGGGTCTGCCCCTGGTCCCGGGGGACCGCAGACTTCGCTCCTTGGAGCCTGGACCCCCAGGGCCCAGAGCGGCTGCAGGACCCGCCCGCCCCCGCTGTCCCCGTGGCAGCGGCCTGCCTACACCTCCAGGCGCTCTGCTGGCCGCAGAGTCCCCGTCTCAGGAGTCTCTGGCCTCCAGTTAGATCTGGGGTCCCGACAGGGTGCAGCCCACCCTGGCAAGAACTCCCAGGCCAGCCTCTTCCGGGGTCTTCCTGGGAGGAGCGCACCAGTTCCTGGCTCCTGCCCCCACCAGCCCAGCCCTGCGCCGACGTGGCCCTGAGGGTGGTCTCTCAGTTATAAAAGACGGGGGCGGGGGGTGCCCCCCGAAGTTCCTTACACTTCCTGTTCGTGAGGAGGTGGTGAAACTGTCTTCTCTACATCACCCCCTGCGTGGGAGGGAGAGCGGCGAACTGTTGGGTGCAGATGGATGGTCTCAGAGCCTAAACTGGGCCTCTCTGCCCGTCAACGGCTTTGCAGCGGGGTGTCTGGGTGGGGCCTGGGCGCCAGGGTCTCCCCAGGGTTCTCACTTGCAACGTGAGTGTGACCGCTGCCCTAACACAACCGTAGTTCTCAGCCACCGCCGGTCTCCTGCCTGTGCGGGCGGGTGGGAGGGGAGAGAGTCTCGGGGGGGTCCTCCAGAACGCTCGAGTTTTACGCGCGCAGTCGGAGGGTGTCCCGCGGCAGCTGCACACACCAACAATCCTACTGTGTGTGAGTGAGGGGGTTTGTCGGGGTTCTCAGAACAATGGAGGCAAAGGCCCTCCTGGAAGGGCAACTCGGTTCTAAAAGGCGCACGGGCAGCCCCGAGCACCGTGCGCCCGGAGCTCAGAACGCAGCACACGAGGTCGCCTCGCAGACCTTGGACGGAGAAGGAGGAAGCCACGAGCCACCTTAAACCGAGGCTGCTCGTTGCCGGAACCCATTTTAAAATGAAGCGTCTGCCTTTCTGTGTTGCTTCCGTCTGCAAAACCGAAAACGAGCGTTTGGGAGTTTGTTAATAACTTGCACCAGTAATTAGCAATCGAGCTCAGCAAAGTCCCAGGGGCCTCGGCGGGGTTTGCCCTCCCGGCGGCTCTGGTTTCGGGTGGGAGAGAGTGGAAGGGCTCAGCACACGCGTGCAGGGCCTGCCCCAGCAGACCCCCGAAGACCTTGGTGGGGCGCCCTGGCCCCTTCCCACACCCCCGGCCTCCACGTGCACCGGCCGATGAGCCCGGGCCTGGCGCGGGTCCCAGATTTCACTTTTGCAACCGTGTATTCTGCACGTGTCTCGGCCCCGGTTACACAGTGACTGTCCCAGCGGCAACTTCCTCATGTGCAAAAATCTTGGCTCTTCTCGGCCGTTCCAAACGAGTAACTGCTGGGCAGCTGCATTGGAGGGAAGCGGGAGGAGGGCGGGCGGGGCTGGAAGACCCAGAAGTGATTTAACGACAGAGGTGACATTTCTGAAACACTCAGGAAATCCCCCCCTCCACCATAAGCCAAACACAGCAAGTCTGCCTGAGGCTTGTACTTGGCAGGGGACCCGGCCGGCAGGAGGAAGATGTTGGCCAGGCAGGGTGGGGGTGCCTGCCAAGTGCAGTGACTGGGTCGCCTCTTTGACCTCTCACCCCTCTCTTCCTACTCCTTATTCATTAAGGAGTCAGCAGCAGCTGCACATTCTTTCAGGCTGAACCTCCGCGACCTCCTCGAGGGACCCGTCTTGCATGAGTTTAATTTCTTCGGGTCTTTTCGCGCTCGTGTGGGTCTTCCCTCCTCTCCCAAGCCTGTTGCCTGAAGGACACGAGGCCGTGTGTTGGATCTCAGGAGACTGCCCTGTAGTTGGACCCATTTTTTTTTTCCAGATCCATTTTTTGCAGGAGGCCTTCCTTGAGCCGTGGAGCACAGCAACCTCTGAACTTCCGGTTCACGTGCTTTCCCAGCAGTTCGCCTCTCTGGAGTTCACTGTGGGGGTGCTGTGAGCCTCCGGCTGACGCCCGAGCCCTCGGGAGCCCAGGGCAGGGCCGCCCTGGTCCTTCTTCCGCTCTGTGCCAGAGCCCAGCTGGGCCCAGAGCGACAGCCCCGTGAGTGGCTGCCCAGCTCCGGCCGAGCCTCTCTGTCTGTGCCTGGGGTCACAGGGCGTCCCCGCGGCACAGGGTCTGAGCATTCACACGCTGTGGGGCTGGGGTTTAAAACCTAAGCCCCCCAGCCCAGCCCACCCGTATGCACACCCCAGCCAGGCCGGTCAGGTCCTGAAGGTTCCGCCGTCCCTCCGGGTCTCAGTGTCCTGGACTGTACAATGGGAATACTGATTGTTCTGAACCCTGCGTTGTTACGAGGACCGAGAGAGTGACGGCATAGAACGCCCTTGGCCCTGGGCCCCAGACCGAGCGCACACGCAGCACGTGTCAGCTGCGGTGGTCGTTACTGGGAAGAACCAGGAGGGGCATCACAGTCCCGGGGGGAAGGTCCGCACACAGCCGGGAGCTGGGGACTGTGTGTGATGCCCTGAGGTGACTCCAGCCTCACACGACAGAGGTCGGAGGTCGGAGCGGAGGGGCTGCACCTTCTGTCCCTCTCCGCAGGGAGTCAGCCCCCAGGGTGCGATCTGAGAGGGCCGATGGATGGGGGTCGACGGGGAGCTAGCTCAGAGAAGCAGTGTCTGTCCGCCGTTCACCTTAGTGACCGCTTCCCTGCAGCGCCTGTCGGAGGCAGCCAGGGCCCCCTTCACGGATGACATTCCTGGGGCCCCGACCCGGGAAGCCGGTGTGGACATCGCACTAGGTCTCCCATGTCTCTGCCTTCTCGTCCCCATTGCCTTTGTACATGAGACAGGACAGCGGCCAGACACGTGCACTCGAAGGTCCGGCGGAGTCCGGGAGCCCCACTTTGTCTGGGTGTTCCCCAGCCACTCTTGACTAAGAAGCTGTCGGGCAGCCCTTTGGTCCTATAATTGTCTCATTAGCTTGTTAATGTAAAGCTCGTAATTGCTATCTGCTCGGAACCGAGCCCAGTGGCCGCCGTCTGTCTCTGGCCCGTGATGTGATTTGGGTTCCATCTGGCATCTTCTGCTCACCTAACGCTCACCAGACGGCTGCGGGGAGGAGCGAGGGACAAGACAAGCCCGCCCTCCCCCGGTCAGAACCCAGGGCGAGATGCCCGGCCTCAGGGGTTCATTGTACTCTGGCGCACAGCATCGGACTGGGGCTGCGCTACGCAACTCGAAATCACTCCTGTGATTCCGTTACTCGTTGGTCCAGATGTTTCTAGCAGCTAATTGTAGGACCTGCCCACATTGGAGCCCGATTTGGCAGCCAGCACCTGCCAGGTCGCTCTCTTCGGCCGCCTGGAGCGTTGGAGGATGAGGCCTTCTCCCCGGGCCCTGCCTCACACACCGCAGGCCCTGAGAGATCGCACAGCCGGCCAGGCGATCCCCCCCCCCCCCCCACGCTCTGAGGACAGAGCCACCCCCCTGTCTGTGCAATGCACATCTGGCAGCACGGTAGTTGGGGGACGTGGGCGGTCCTTACCTGACCCCTGACCCTTGCCCAGATAAACTTGTCTGGGACAAAACCATCCTTCGCTGTTGGAAAAGTGGCTTCCCTACCTCCGGCCCAGGATGATCTGCTTGTGGAGAGGGGGCTGGGGGCTGCAGCCATGAACCTGGAGACTGGGTGCAGAGAGCCAGTGAGCGCACCCGAAGCTCCGCCTCACCCACCCGTGAAAGGGGAGATCCTTTTTGTAAGAGCCCTTTCCCGGGACACCCGAGGCGAGCCGCCTTCCAGCCGCGGAGAGGAGAGGGGTCGCTCAAGTTCCCCAAGAAGAGTTCACGTGTACCTGTGTTGCTCTGAAATCTCTTGCTTTTCTCGTTTAATCCAAACCCCCAGATTGAGTGCAGGTGACAGAACAGAACAGTGTCAGCCAAGCCTGAGTCTCTGCCAAGAAATTAACACAGATGTATTCTCACTACCTCGTAGGCAGAACGTTTAGCTTCAAATGAACAAATGACTGTCTTTGGCAGAGTCTCTGAGAATCCTAACTCCCTCGTTGCCTTCCTCGCAGTAGACACGAACTGGCAGGCTTTAGCCGTAACAGAGCCGCGTTAGGTACACTCCACACCTGTGCGCGCAGTTTCAGGCACCCGGGAGTCATTTGAAACGAGTGCTTCCGAAACAGCAAGGGCAGACACCAGAAAGGCTCACGGTGGTAGCACGCGATTGCTCCGCAGCATCCGAGCGCCCCGTGAACACGTCCTAGCGCACCTGGCGCCACAAACACCCCCGCGCCTCGGGAACCGGGGGACACGGCGGCGTTTCTCTCACCCGCGTCGGTGGAGTTCCAACCGCGCCGATCCGCGCCCCCGCCCCCCACGCGGTGCGTTCTCGTTAACGCGACCCCCAGAGGACGTCCGTGTCCTCAGTTCTACAGGCCGCTGAACATCCGGATCGTGCTGGTCGGCGTGGAGGTGTGGAACGACCTGGACAAGTGCCCCATCAGCCAGGACCCGTTCACCAGCCTCCACGAGTTCCTGGACTGGAGGAAGATGAAGCTTCTGCCGCGCAAACCCCACGACAACGCGCAGCTCGTCAGGTAGGACACCCGCGTCTCTCCCGGGCGTGGGGGGCGCGCGGCCTCGGCGCGCCCACTCTGCTCTGGCCCCCCGGGGGCGGTCCGTGGCGCCTTTCCTGGGCGCACAGGTGTCTCTCGCCCCGAGGACACCCTGGGAGACCTCTTCCTCTGGCCGATGTCCTGTCCTCCTTCTGTAACCTGGACGTTGTCCTTATGCAACTTTTTCTAGTCGTAATCCCCGTGGGAAATCGTCCAGAGCAGGCTATTTTTAAAGCTCGGTGTCTTTCCTTGTTAGTGGAGAGTGTGTTTGCACCATCTGAAGACAGGGCATCCAGGCGGTTATTGTCAGACGCTGGGAGAAGGAACGGCTTCGTTCCTCCCCCCGGTTCGCGGTCATCCTCTGCATTTCTGGGCCAGAGACTGACCAGCCGCGTAGCGCGTGAACCCTGGGTTCTGCCTTCCAACCGAATGGGACTGAGCACCAGTTAGGAACCCGACATCCTCACGCGAGGAGATGTGAACCTAGTGGGGACCGACCCCGCCCACGGCCCGGCTCGTGGGGTCTGCGGTGTGCTGGGAGAAGCATCAGTGTCGAGGAAACCCCAGGGCGAGGAGCGTGTGATGTAATGAGTGAGGGGACACACAGCTATGACGTAACAGTACATGGGCGAGACGGTACAGACACCTTTATTTTTAAAAGAAAAAAATGCTTATCATAATCTAAACGGGTAGGAAGTCAATTTTTCCCAAAGTCACAAACTTTGTATTAAAATTCTTAAACCGTTCACGCCATTATTCTTTTCTTCTCGTGTAGCTCCTATCGCTGAGTTAAAAGCTTTGGAGTTAGAGACACTTTTCTCTGGCAAATTGGGTTTAACTTACTGAACGTTTATGGAAAGTGAAAAGCCGACCCTACCCCGCCCTCACTTTGGAAAATGCCCCCGTCCGAGCTGAGGCGGGTGCCATTCCCCGGTCATTTACTTTGGCCTTTTTCCACTGTTTCGGTTTTTTTTTCCTCCCTTGCCTTGGATATTTGCGGTTGCCTCATATTTTGGGCATTGATTAATCCTGAACTACTAAAAAGTAGAATCAAAGTGTTTTGTTTTGATTTTTTTCCCAAATGGAGTCTGTCCAACTTGAACATCTGGAAATAAATTAGCTTTTTATATAACCTTCTTATTTCTATACATATATAAAATGGCCTATAGAGATACAGATGTAAAAGCTGCCGCCTCTACTATTGTCTGTAAGAATGCAATGGGAGGGAGGGCTGGGTACATACATGTGCACATGCATACATTCATACATACATGGATAAGGTTCGATATGTACTTGCTGCCTTTTGGCCACCTGACCACTGCCAAAACGCCTCACTTTTCAAGTAATATAGGTAAAGTCCATGTATGTACCTGGCCACGATAACATGGCTAAACCATGTGTTTCCCTTAACAGAGGTTCAACCCATACAAACAATGCCTAATCCCTAATGCACGAGTTTGGAACCAATATGCACTTGCGTTAACCAGGCTCTGATGTCATCAGACTCACTGACCGAGACCCCACATGCGGGAAGCTGCACCGGAGCCATAGGTCCCCTTCCGGAAGCCTCCGCCCAGGGTGCTGAGGCTTCGCGGGTGCTCACTTCTCCACCGACTCCGGAGGGTCCCTAAGTTTTCTGCCCATTTCGGTTTTACAAGCTCCGTCCGCACGCCGTTGTGGGAGAGCTTGGGTGTCTGACCTGCCACGTCACAGGGGAGAGCACCACTCCCCTGCAGCAGAACCCCTGGGCAGCCCTTCCTGCGCTCCCCTTAACGGAGCGCGATCCCCTGGGGCTCTGGTCCAGCCTCCCACCGGCGCGCGCGCCCGTGGAGGGGAGCAGCTCCCTCGCCCCTTAGCCACCAGGCAGAACACAACGCGCACCTACGAGGATCGCGCCTGGTTGTCGCGACCGAACGCCACACGGTCGCAAAGGGCTCGACTTTTGTGCTCGAGGTCCGGGTCTGGAACGCACAAACCCGGGAGTGCTGCGAGGGCGATGGAAACCGCCCGTCCGCGCGTCCTCACGCGGCGACCCTGGTCTTGGCCGAGGCTTTCGCGTCTCCCGGGGGCACGCGGGTCATCCTGGGGCTGCGAGTGTCCCTGCTTCTGTGCCTCCTCCTCTGCGTGTCAGTCTCGCCCCGCGAGTCCCCAGCCCAGGACCCAGGCACACGCCCTGCTCACAGTGTTCTCGGCGCGCCGTGTTTTTTCTCGTCCAAGGTTCAAAACCCAAAGGTACATATTATAAAACGCCTTCATTCTCTATTAGTTGAAGCAAGTCCTTTCTTTTCCTTCCTAGCGGGGTGTACTTCCAAGGGACCATCATCGGCATGGCGCCCATCATGAGCATGTGCACGGCGGAGCAGTCCGGGGGCGTGGTCATGGTAAGTCAGGGGCGTGGTCAGGGTAAGTCGGAGGCGTGGTCATGGTGGTCGGGGCGTGGTCATGGTAGTCGGGGGCGTGGTCATGGTAAGTCAGAGGCGTGGTCAGGGTAAATCTCTGTGCCCTGGGCAGCCGGCACAGGGTCCCGCTTCCCCTGGAGGCGGTCCCAGCAAATCCCTCCTCCCACCGGACTTGGTAAAATCAGATTCTTTTCCTGAACGCCTTTTAGATTTCATTCTGTCTTCCCTGTAGCTCTGTTCGCTGTCGTACACAACCCACAATATTTGAGGGACTGCTTAGAAAACATGTAGATTTGCACACTGGAAAGGTGAGCGTGCAAAAAGTAGCTCGGTGCAAACCCGTCTTCCCCATTTATGGGGAAGAAGTTTCAGCTGGGATTCTGGTCGAGGCATTCCAGTGCGGGAATCCCCTCCCGGCGCTGGGAGGAGCCAGGGCCCCGGGGCTGCCCTCACCGCTGGGCTTCTCGGACGGCCTGTGGTCTCCCCAAACAGAACCGTTAGAACGGCTTTCTGAGGCTTCTGCCTCCAGGCCCGACAGCCAGATGTCTGAGGTTTTTAACTATTTACCACCGCAAATGCCTGACATACCTCCTAGCCAGTGTCCAATCCGTCTGTGTGAAACCTTATTCTTGGAAGGCAGCGGCCCGGGTTTATTGCTGTACAAAGATCCTTTTGTCGTGTCTGGACTCTGTGTGTTTGTAAAAGGAAATAAAAATGGGAGGGATATTTGGGACTCGTTTCTTACGAACTTCAGAGGGAGGCGGCTTTGATAGGCTGCCCAGCAAGGTACTCCTGCTCGGGTCCCTTCCATAACTGGGGGGAAGTTCGCCCCAGGCCAGTGCTGCCCCTGCTCTGAAAGTGGGGTGCCCCCTTTGCACCCGCCCTCAGACGGGGGCAGTGTCCTCAGGGACCGTCCCACCACCTCCGTGAAACGAGCAGAGCCTGGCCCTTCCGAGAAACCCTGAACTCCTCTGCATCTGTCAAACAGAACATTTGTGACCGTTCCATTGTGTTCCAGGGCGGAAGGAGGTGTATGTTCTGCTGACTCTAATTTCTCTCCACACACCGCCCACCCGCATCTCCTTAGTGACCGGACGCGAGGGAGCGCTTCCTCTCTCAGGGCAGTGCTGGGGGTTCCTGTGCGCCCTCCCCCGCGCGCACGGGGAGGCCGGGGAGGCCGCGCGGAGGGGTCACGCCCACGCCCTGACTTCTGGCTTGAACCGGCTGCGCTCCGCTTTTTTGGAACCCGGCAGCCCTGCGGGCGCTGCACACCACGGAAGTCACTGGGAAGTTGGGTTTTTCTCGGTTGCAGGTCAATTTCAAGTCGGACCCCAACTGCATTTTTACAGAGCAGCCTGCGAAGTTTCCAAAGGGCATCATTTCCTGCGTCATGGCTCCATGGTCAGTCGCTCACTGACCCTGCCACCGCGAATTGGTGTAAACGCTTTCTAGAGCCGAAGCCGAATCCCGCATAAGCACGGCCGGTTCGGCCCCTGTGCGGTGCTTCGGCGTTTTTATAACCAACGTGATCGTACTAAATGTCTTCCCGGGGTTCGTACCCCTTATTCTGTTTCCCTGCGAGCATTGCGTCAAGATGCCTTCTGCAAAAGCACACAGGGATGCCCAGCCTAAAAAAATTAAAATAAAAAAAAAGGTTGTACGTGAATGTGGGAAACAGAAGCAAATATGCACTCTGCAGTCAGGGTCCTCAAGGCCAAAGTCAACCGGCAGGAAGTGCGTTTGGCCGACTTGGCAGCCGCTCAGGTCGGCCCCAGACTCCCTCCTTGTTTGCTCTACACGCACAAGAGAGGCATCAGGTGGGAAAAAGAGGACGCAGCCCCTTAGCGTCTATCACGTTCACGCGATAAGCAAGACCCACGGCTTGACCAGATCTAAAGCCCCTAGATGTTCTCCTAGCGCCTCTGAACTTACATTCCTGGGGCGGGGGGGGGGGGGGGGGTCCCATGCAGCCATGCCGTATTCAGAAACTTACAACTGCGCAGGGAAGGACGTGGAGGAGCAAGGGAGCAGGGCTGCTCATCCGGTTGAAAATGCGCCTTCTGACACCGTTTCTCGATGTCCTCAGCGTGGGGCGGGCATTTACTTCGGTGACTTGCCGGCGTGCCCCTGGAGCACACTGAGCTAAAACAGTCTTGGTTTGGGGATAATGCCGTGAATAAAGAGGTCGCTTTTTTTTTTTCCTTCTTGCAAACGTAAACTGTTTATCAGGGTCTCTTTAGAGGCCTTCTGCTTATAATCACCTATGCGTGAAAGAATGCAAAACAATTTGGCAATTAAAATCAAAACCAAGATATTCAGGGATGCAAAAGAATCAGATGCAGAGTAATTTTTGAAGGATGAAGTCCTTGAATTTCGGGCCAAAGCATGCTAAATCGAGCCCTTCGCATTTGGAGTTTTGGCTCCACGCTCTTCGCCAGCGTGTGTTATTCTTGAGAATCGATTTCCTGAAACATATTTGTGAAGCTTCCTACAACAGGAAACTGTAAAATCCAAACAGAGTCATTTTCTAGGCATTCCATCTACCCTAGGAATAACTCACTTCCTTGACACGCTGTCCTTGCCTTAGACTGGGGGCTGGTGGTAGAGGCGGTGGCAGCTGGAACCGCTAACCCACCTGTGGGATCGGGCCTGAAGGCACCTTTCTGGAGAGGCCTCGCAAAAACTCTCTTTTCCAGCATAATGCTTTCTCCAAATCCCAGGGCAGTGCAGAGCGGCATTCAAACAGAGGGCCCTCAGCACTCCGCGGCGTGCAGGCCTCCGCGGAAATAACCATTCGTGGGCACGGCGCCGCAGGTCTCATCCACTGACCAGTTTCCGTTTGTTAAAGTCAAGTAACAATGTATGGATCCTCTTAGCTCATTTTAAATATCGAGTTAGCCAAGCCACACACGCGCTCCACCGAGTTACAGTGGCCAAGCACCGCTTAGTGAGTAGAGAGACTGTCTCCCGTCATCAAGCAGGAGGCTGAGGGAACCCCAGCCACCCAAGTCAGAGAGTCAGGACGCCTCTCCACACATCCCCAAAGCCCGCCTGGCTAAACGAGGGGCCCAACTGGCTCGCAGTCTCAGCTCAGTGAGCCCCCACGCGGATTCCTCAACGCGGGTAGCGTTTACTGGGGATTACCGTGAGGTTTCCGGGCGTCCTTCCCCCAGCAGACGGGAGGAGGCGTGCTCAGCAACAGCGTTCAGGTGCTGTTCAGGGTGTATCACAGGGCGTGTTTCCCCGCACCGGTCTTGCGTAGCAAGGTCTCAGTCCCGGATGGAACGGTGCTGTTATTCCCCGTGGAGGAACCAGATCTTCCTCTGACGGAGGACAGGGTTCCCTTCAGTCAGCGGCAGCAGGTTGCCGGGGCCATGCGGGTTCCCAGGGGGGTGGGTGCAGTCAAATGTCGAGGAAAAGTGCATGTCGGGACGGGGGTCGGGGGCCCGGGAAACAGGGCCGAGCAGACGTGTGAACTGTGCATCTGTGCTCTCGTGTTTTCTTGGAGGACCATTCGGACAGCCCCCTTGGTGCGGCCGTGACCCTGGCACACGAGCTGGGCCACAATTTCGGGATGAACCACGACACCCCGGAGAGAGGCTGCGGCTGCAGGACGGCTGCCGACAAAGGAGGCTGCATCATGAACCCTTCCACCGGGCAAGTACTCCCGCCCGCCTCCCGCTGCTCCCGGCTGGGCCCAGCACTCCCTGGCCTTCTGGCCAGGGCACCCGTGGAAGTTTCTAGAAAGAAATTTCTCCCCGAGTAGCAAGAGTGGACCGTGCTGCTCTGAGAGAGCCTTAGGTGACCGACCGGGTTGCAGTGCTGCGTGGCGAGGACTGACCTCCTCCTGAGCACGGGTGGCACTCGTGCTGCTGTCCTCATCCAGAAACCACACACTGCCTTACAGCCCCAGCACGTGTGTGACTCGAACCCACAGCCCCCGCGCTGCGGCCGCTGGAGGGCCTGGTTCCCCTAGTGGCAGGTGGGGGAGGTCACAGAGGCCCGAGTCCCTCAGGGGGTGCTGGGTGAGAGGGGCTTCCTCCCACAGGGCTGGGCCTGCGGTGGACTCGAAGGGTGCTGGCAGCTGGGGGACTTGGGCCCCCGCCTCTGATACCACGTCACCACAGCCGGTCTCAGAGGGCTCAGGGCCGCGACTTCCGTCTCAGCAGATGCTGCTGTCACCCCTCACGTAACGCCCTCCTGGAACTCTAGACTGGGTTCACTCAGAGCCAAAGGAAGGCAGTTTCGTTATCACAGCATCAGGTGAGGTGGGGACAGACCGGCTCGGAGTGGCTGCAGATCCTGCGGTCTCCGTGCGCCTGAGGGCCCGTCCCAGCCCAGAATGTGGTGCTCACGTGAGATCTCCATTAGCAAGGGAAACACTCCCTCCTCAGCGCCTCCATCCTTTTTACCCCTCGAGACCTTCCCCACGCGTATCTTCAAGGCACGCCGCAGGCCGAGGCTGCTCTGGGGTCCACTTTGCAGCCCGGCAGCCCGGACACAGGCCTCTGCCGAGACTCGCCAGCATGGGGCGGTCATACTGAGAGGGGGACCCCTGCTAAAGGGGGTGTCAGGGTCCCAGGGGAGGGGTGCATCGTTGTGGAATGTGGCCCTGCTTGTATAAGCCATAGCCCTGGAAGCCCGCTGTCCAGGGGCTGCGGGGCCTCACTGGGCCCCTGGAACAAAGGGCAGCAGAGCAGACCGGCACGCTCTCGTCCCTCCGTGCGAGCTGGGGCGAGGCGTCCTCCTCCAGCAGCCGCTGCCCCTTCCATCTGCCGCCGCCGTGGGCACGGAGCCCTCGGGAGCAGCCCCTGCCGCTCACGGCTCTGCCTCGCGCACCAGTCGGGGCCGTCAGCAAGGCCTGCTGGAGGAACTGGCCCCTGCGTCCGTCACGACGGAGGGCAAGGACCGAGCCCAAGTGGGTGTCTCAGGCCCACGCCAACAGGGAGTGAAGTAGTGCAGATTCCGGACACCAGCGAGGGGAGCTCCCCCCAGGGGGGCCGGTCACCCAGACACAGTGCGCCCCTTGTCACGTAGAGTGTCGGGCGGGGCAGAGTCATGCAGGTTGGGCACTTGGGGCAAAGAATTCCTCCGTAGGGTGTGGGGTTGCCCGGGGGCCTATGGGGGCTTCTGTTTCCAAGGCGGATGGAGCCCTGCCCTGCAGGCCAGCCAGCGTGCTGTGTGACTCTCGGGGCGAGGCGGGGAGGAGGCTGAGGAGCCGCCGAGTCCTCACACGCTTTCTCGTCCCTGACGGACTCGGAGTGGCTGCCGAACGCTCACTCTGGGTTTGGTTCCCCTGATCACCCGACGGGCACCCACACGTCCGACGCCAGGGCCCCCTGAGCAAGGTGGGCGGGGCCTGCGCGGGCCCAGGTGCTCGCAGATCGCGTCCAGTAAACAGCAGTCGGCCCCTCGTACCCCCGGGTTCCGCATCCGCAGATTCAACCGCCGGCGACTCAAACCGTGTTTCCCTCTGAGGCTGGGGACCGGGATGCAGAGGGTTGGCTGTGTGCCCTGCTCTACGAATTTGACTGGCGGGTCTTGAGCGTCCGCAGCCCGTGGTACCCACGGGGAGGGGCTAGGTGTCCTGGGACCAGTCCCGCACGGATGCGAGGGACCCGAGGGGCCGCTGAAGCACCTGGGGAGTCCAAGCTGCACCCAGATTTTCAACATCTCAGAGGATGGGGAGGGTGTCAGCTCCGCAACCCCCGACGTTGTTCAAGGGCCCACTGTAGGTGCTGCCCAGGTGGTTCCCAGGGACTGGACAGGTTATACCAGTATTTAACCAGTATTGTTAGTGTTTTTGAACTCTTGATACAAGAGACAAATGGAGGAAAGGAAAATCTGGACCGGAAACGCTAGGCTGGGATCCAAGAGAGCTGGGGGCCCCAGCTCTGACACCCGTTGTTTTAGGTAACGCGGGCAAATTAGTGGCCCCTCCGGCTCTCCAGCTCCCCATCAGCAAAACGAGGCAGTGTATCCTTCCTTCCTTCCTCCTTCCCTCCCTCCCTCCCTCCCTCCCTCCACCCATCCATTCATTCATTATTCCATCCATCCGTCCATCCATCCATCCATCCATCGCCCATCTTTCTGCCGATTGGCGCACAAATATTTGACCCCTAGGTTTGTTGTCATGGGGTGCACCCAGATGAAGGGCACCCCACAGCTCTAGGAAGTGCGTGATTCTGGGGGCACCACAGACAGGAGGCCCTCTTTCTGGTCCTCTCCGGGCAGTTGTATCAGGCCCGTCACACCGGAGGTCTTCTCGCCGGCGTTTACGGACATGAGCCAGCCCCACCACCCCCCGGGGGATGCCTGACAGCTATTGGCAGAATGGTATTGTTCAGAGCTCAGCAAATCACTTAAAAGGCTTTTTTTCCCCCTCCTTACCAGGGGTTTGCTAATAGCCCTTGCTTGATTTATACCTTATTAGCGATTTCGAAGTTTTCTCTTTTGCTGAGCTTGTGCCTTTGTGTAAATCTTTTCTCTTCGGTCCTCATTTATGATCCTGCATTCCTGTCCAGAGAGTGGTGTTTTTAATTTTCTCCGATGGAAAGAAACTTCCTAAGCAAGTGGGTGAATTAATCACCAGGGCCCAGAGTGCGGGGGAGGTCACGCCACCCAGGCGACCCCCGGTCATCCATCACCCACTGTCGACTTCCCGGGCCGCCTCTCATCTCCAGGGTTATCTCCGTGTGGCTGTTCCCTTACCTCATAGGGTCCCCCCGAGAGCGGGAGAGCGGATTACATGAGATCATGTGTCTCGGGGAACCGTAAATCACTCCACGAGTAGGTGGTGGTATTGGGGTTGTTGTTTAGCGCAGAGGGACCTTGGAACCATCGATGAGTGAAAGGCCCTTTTCCAAACTCTGGTGCGTAGTTTCTGGAAGGCACTCGAAGGCCACGGCAGGGTCATTCGGCAGCGCACCCACAGATTCTGTGTGAACGGCGCCCGTCCCAGCACCAGCTTCCTCGAGACCTCCCCACTGCCGATCCAGGCGTGCGTGGCAAATGTCAAAAATGGGGTCTTAGCCCTGGGTGGCGTAGCTCAGTGGATTGAGTGCAGGCTGCGAACCAAAGCATTGCAGGTTCGATTCCCAGTCAGGTCACATGCCTAGGCTGCAGGCCACGACCCCCAGCAACCGCACATTGATGTTTCTCTCTCTCTCTATCTTCCTCCCTTCCCTCTCTAAAAATAAATAAATACAATCTTTTTTAAAAAATGCGGTCTTAGAGTTCTCCCCAAAAGCAACTCTCAAAGAGAAGAGTCGGTGACTGGTATTGAAACCTCCCAGATTCAGCCCTGCAGACAGTGTACAGACCGCCTCTGGGAGGAAGTGCCCCCCAATATACACCTTGTTCGGTCCTCGGGAAGGCATTCCGGAATCCGGACTCCGGACATTGTAACCAGCTGCCGTCGCTGACGCATTGGACCCGCGGGCCTGAAAATACTAGGAGCGCAGGGAGGTCTTTTGAACCCGTGGGTCGTAACTCACGCCGCACGTTACCAGGGTGGTGGAGGGAGTAGCCTCGCCGGTGGTATCGTGAATTACACACGTCTTTGAGGGCGTGTGACAGGGTGTGTTTTATGTCTGTGGGTAGTTAACAGTGAGATCCGCCTTAGAAATCACTCTTTGGCAAAGGCGCTATCTGGGAATTCGTGTGGGAGTTCCAACTCGGTCGAGTCCATCCCTTCCTGAGCTTCTCGGAGCTTTGGGTCTCCAGGGGGTGAGAGCTAAGAATGCCACAGTTAAGGGAGTGAGCACATTGTGGACATAATTTGAACACTTTTGGAAAAGGATATTTAGCATAATAGAAAATACCACTTCCTAGAGTAGGGGGGAAAGCAGTATTAACACTGAGAAATTACTCTCACGGCATCTTTGTTTTTGGCAACAAGGTTTCTGTTAAAAGGAGGCTGGGGTCACAGAGCCAGCTGCGCTCGGCTGCTGAACCGGGAGGGCACTGGGTCCTGCCTCTCAGTAGGCACTCCGGTAGGGGCGGGGGTTCGGGCCGTGAATGGGACAGACCCTCCGGTGCCCTCACAGAGCTTGCGCTCCAGGACGGAGAGAGACCCGAGGGAAGCAAAGGGTGAGGATGGAAAGGAGACAGGCACGCCAGCAGGGGGACCCGACCTGAACTGGGGGTCTGGGGAAGGACCAATTCTGTGTGGGCGGGACCTTCAAGCAAAGCCCAAAAGGAAGATAGGGACGGCGCGCCTGCAGAGGTCACAGGTCTCGGAGGGGACGCTGAGCCAGGGCTTGGAAGCTGGCCACATTGCCCACGGGAGCCCAGCGGCTTATGGGGCTGGATCAGCATGTGGAGGGGCTGGTGCTGCTGGACAGACTGGGGGAGCCCCCGCGGGCAGAGCCCCGTCCGCACAGCGGGGGCGGGGCTTCCTCTCGGGTCCCCAGGGTGACCAGTGAGAAGTCACCAGGGTGGTAGGGGGCTTAGGCGGGGCCAGGGGGGGTGACCTGATTTCTCTTTGCGGATTTTTTCATTGTTAAGAGGATCACGTAGCATCTGAGATATTGTCGCTCGCCACATTAAGGAGCTTCCTATAAAAAAAAAGGGCAACAGTCCATAAACACTAGCTGTGCATCGGTGCAGTGAACAGATTGGAATCACAACGAGGTCCCGCGTGAGCCCACCCGTAC